TGATTCGACGAGCCATCTCGGCACTATGGTCACACGCTCAACATACATTACACTTAAAAATTCATAGGTAATCAACAAACAAATTGAAATCTAACTAAAAAAATCACAACGTAATTTAAACATATATTTTCAAACAATTATGTTCCTAGAAGTAAGAATTAAAAAAATACAATAAGATTATACAAATTCATATCCAAATCAGATATGCTCTTTCAATTGGAATTTGATCATTAGCTTAGGTGGGTGCTATTTTTACAAATATTTGTTTGAACTGTTCAATTAGCTTTCTCATTTAGTTAGAGATTTATGTTTATCACTTAGAAGAAATACCGGCGAACGAATAAATATATAGCTATTGCAAATGAAAATTAAGTGGGTAAATAAATATGAATGTGGGTGAGAGAAAGTGTGAGCGTGAAGTGAAAATTAAAATAAATTAGTAGGAAAAATTCCGCTCAAAATTATTATATTTTAAATTTTTTTGTGTTTTTATTATATTTTGGTTTTTTTTTTTAATAGATAAAGAGATTTAATTGATAATAATTTATAGTATTTATTATTTCTAATAGTATATTGTTAATAAAAATAATTGACTATATTTTAAGTTAATTTTGATATATAAATTTGATATTTATTCTTCAATTCGATTTTATATATTAAGTGTATACATAAATATTATAAACTTTATTATTTTAGTTATTCAAATAAAACGTAATTTATTATTGTTTTTAAATTTATATATAAAAATCATATATTTTAAACCCCACAAAAAATATATAGTTTTTGGGACCGTATTCAAAATATAATTTGTGATTCGTTTTGAGACAATTTTTTTTTTTTAAAAAGATATGTATATATATATATTTCGAGACATTCAAAATTTCAAAATATTTTATGTGATTTATTTCAAGACAATTCAACATATTTCGCAACAAATACAATTCTCAAAACATAGTGTGTGACTCGGTTCAAGACAATTCACACTCTCAGAGTATTTTTCATAACTTATTTCGAGACAACTCATACTCTCAAAGTATTTTTCATGACTTAATTCGAGACAATTCAAACTCTCGGAATATTTTTCATAACTTATTTTGAGATAATTTCTACCATCAAAATTTATTTTGTGACTCATTTTGAGATAACCTTTACTCTCGGATTATTTTTACGACACATTTCGAGACAATTCGTATCAGTAGCGGATGGAGTATTAGATAAGGTAGGTCAATTGACCCAAAAAAAAAAAAAAGAAAAAAAAAGAAAAGAAAAACCTTAAAAATAATACTAATTATTACTAAAATTATAATTATACTATTAAATCAATTTATTAATTTTATATTTATATTACAAATTAATGGAGTTATTTCCACGTATCTATCAAAATAAAAATAAAGATAATACTCAATTATCACTAAAATTATATATTTACCCCTAATTTAAATTATTCCTTTAATATTTATTTTTCATCTTCTTCCTCTTTTATTCTAATTTTCAGTCAGAGATTCGCCCAACTTCACATACGCGATTTAATTTTATGTGCTCTTCACCTCTTTCGTTCTTGAATCTCCACTTGCATCCTAATTTACATCAATACCTTCGATAGGTAATTAATTTTATTTATTATTTTAGAATGAATTGGAGGTCATTTGGTTGATGTCCGTTGTCTATTAGAGTTTTTTTAATAGTATGTGGAATTTTTTGTATCATATTTTTTTTTTAGAGTTTTAATCTTTTAGAGTTTATATTTCCAAATGATCCATTTTTATGTAAAATCTCTAAGCCTTTATTGCTTAAATGTCCTAATATCTTATGCGACAAATCACTATTCTCACTAACATAATTTATTGTGTTTACAGGCATATTAATTGGTTCAGCACAAGTAATATACAAATTATTATGTTTTACGGCTTTAAACACAACTAAAGATCCCTTAGTAATTTTTATAAAATTATTTTCACATTTTCCCTCTAATTTAAATCTGATAAAGCAGCATAAGATAACAGATTATTAGATAAACCAGGAACATGCCTCACATTGTTTAATTTTAAAATAAAACCAGTGTTAGATTTTAAATTTACACTACTAATTCCAAGCACATTAGAAACACTATTATCAGTCACGGAAACATTGCAATTTTCTAAAGTTTTGTATCCACAAAAAATCGATTTTAAAGGAGTTATATGGTAAGTGCATCCATAATCAATAAGTCATTCATTCATACATACATTGTTCACATTAAAACAATCGACAGTAACAGTAAACACACCACCACAATTTTGATCAAGTAATGTCATATTGGCTAACTCATTAACATGTTGGCTACCATTATTATTATTGTTTTTAGTGTTATTATTCTTTTTCTTACGACACTCACATATAAAATGGTTAGAATCACCACAATTATGACATATTTTACCCCATTTATTTGGAGTTCTAGATCTATTATTTTCTCTACTTTTAGATCTATGTTTATTATTATTATTCTGGTTTTTATTATTATTATTTCAAGAATTACTTTTCTTATTTGATCTAAAAGGAGATCTACCTCTAGCATACATGATTTCACCCTCACTAGAGTTATGAATTTGTAAATCTAATTCTTTAAATTTTAACCCATTAATAACTACATCTAATGTCACATTATCACACCCATATTTAATAGCATATTTAACATCCATGTATGAGTTAGGTGTGACATTTAACAACACTATAACACTGTAATCATCAATATTTTTATCACCCGTAAGTTTTATATCTTGTATTATTTTTGAAAAATTTTCCAGATTTTCATCCATTTATTTTGACAAATCAAGTTTAAAACTTAAATTTTTTTTTTTTCTAACAAATACAACCTACTAAGAAGTAAAGTTTGAGTGTATAGTTAATCTAATTTTCTCCATAATGCCATAGCAAATTCTTTTTTACCAACTTTTCTAATTACATGATCTGGTAAGTTAAGTATTACAATAGACTAAGTCATTTCATCTAACTCATTCTTCCTCTCTAGAGGAACTTGAGCTACATGATTCGGCTCAATTACTTTAATTATTCTTTGAGTGACTAAAATACTTCTTATTTTTTGTTTCCAAATTAAAAAATTCATTTTTCCATCAAAAGGCTGAATACTAAAATCAGAGTGACCAGCCATTTTGCTGTTTTAATAAAAACAGAAAGTTTGAAAAACAAAACTCGTTTATCAAAAATTGAAACGGTTTTGTAACAAACTTGTCAAAGTCGACTCAAACTTAACCAAACTACAAAGATTTGTAGCTATTAAGTTTAAAAATACACAAATCGCACTCGACCGAGGCTAAAAAGCACAGATCAAGTGAAATTTAGGCCGTTCTAGACATATCTACAAGGAAAAGAATCGAAACACTTAAAAATAGTTCGATTCAACTAGATCCTTTGTAGATCTAACGATTTACAACAAAAAAAACCTCAAAACCATAAAGAAAACTCGATTTCGAAAACAAAAATACACCAAAAAGCTCTGATACCACTTGTTATTAAAAATATGAACGAAACAAAGATTTTATTAACGAAATCGACTGAAAAATATACAACTAGTTTTAGTTTTTAAAGATTCAACCCCAATTCAACTTGAAAAATACAAAATCGACACAAACACCCCAAAAAGCAACTAACACAAACAAAACTGGCCCGAAACCCACAACACACAAAGAAAAATAAAGTAGACAGCTAAGAACAGTGGCCGTAAACAAAGAACCACATAAACCAAATGCTAAACTCTTGAATCGAATTTCTTGCAGCTCGAAACAAAATAGGGAAACGGAAAGCACCACGTTTTCTCTACAAAACAGGAGAAAATGGCTCGTCATAAGTCGCCGAAGGTCGCCAGAGGTCACAGGAGGTTGGTATCGAAGAGAGATGACAGAGGAGAGCTAGAGAGCTATATAGAGAGAGAGTAAGGGTTGAATAATGAGAAATGGTGCCCTCTCTCTCATCTATTTATATGTAGGTTATAAAAAAAATGAACGGCCAAGATCTCAACCCTAGATCAGACGGTTGAGATCAAGTCTCGCATAATGGGACATGGATCCTCATAGACGAATTGGGTCGACGGGTCTCGGGTAGGAGTAGAATGCGGACTAGGTAAGTGGGTCATGGGCGTTGTGGGTCAGGGCCCAAGATTAAATTTGACTGCATTTTTTTGTATGTAATGCTTTATTTTGGGATGGATCCATTGGACTAAAAAATCAAACAATCTTTTCCAAATGCTAAGCAGAGCACCAAATGATGTACTTATATTATATATATGTTTATAAATTAGTTTTGTAATTTATTTTAAATGTATTATTATATTTTTAACTTTTAAAATTTTGTATTTAAAAATGATATTAATATTAAATATATTTTATTTATTTAAATTTAAAATATTCCTATTATATACTTATATAACATACATGGGTGCCTTTGTTTTTGTGTTTGTTTTGTAAAATAATTTGAAATAATATCTTTATTAAATGAAATATAAAAAAATTTGTAGCTAATATAAATATAATGAATGTGTATAATATATTAATTTTTTAAAAAAACATGTGTATAATTTTTGGCAAAAAATAACAATCCCCGGTCATTTTGCAAAAATAATTTTATATATATATATATATATATGGTAACAATCAAATAGTAAAATACTAGGATGAAATACAAAATTAATACACTCTTAAATTTTCAAAATTTCCAAATTACCCTTTTCTACGACCCTGTTTGTCCCTTACAAGATACAACAGAAGTAAGCATCGATACAAAGTATAAAACAATGTCGTAAAAAAGTAGGAAGTAGTGGTACGAGGTAAACTCGTCATTGTGATATTATGGTTCAATCAGATCTTTGTCTAGTATGACTTTATCTTTCTAAATTTAATTTATAGATTGTTATGTTCAATCAGAACTTATCCAAAACATAGTCAAAGAGCAGCTGCAAAAGGATATCACGGCATAAAAGTAAATAATAATAATAAAACAAGACAAAGTATAAAAGAGCAATATATTACAGAAAATCATAGCTCATGACAGCAATCAACCAAAGCTATGAACACTTAGAATTATCTAGACACGATTTGCAGAAGAAACAAGTTCAAAATCAAGACACAAAAATGAACACAACAAACTGCTTAGTATCCAACCATATGAGCATCGATCATCAGCCATTATTGAAAGATCCATCTTCGACTCGGATCGATTTGCGACGAGACGTATGGGATCAGCGCAACCTTAACGCAGACAAACAAACGATAAAACATTTGTCTGTCTAAGAGCGGAATTAGTAAGCCCCCCGATCCATGGCATCCCGGTTGGCATCTCCGAGCGCCGCATCCTTGAGATATTTGTCGGCAAGCTGCACCCTCTTCACGTTCTCCTGCTCCTGGACCAGCATGTGCCCGTATTCGAGCAACTTCGCTAGAGTCATCTTGGGTTGTTCGAATGTCGGAGGACCTTCCCTTGAGTTCACAAGCTTCTTCCCGATCGACTCCACTCCCACTCCACTAATCCATCCCCGAACTTCGTCGTCGTACACTCTCGCCCTCAAAGCACCGAAGAAATCTACAGGAAAAAACACCATCGTATCAAGAAAATTTGTAAATTTAGTCTCAAAAAGTCCATTTTTTGCGAGGTATAAGACCAAAATGCGGAAAGTAACTAATCGATTAAAAACACCGAAGAAATCTATATGAAAAAACGATGGTATAATGGAAAATTGCGAATTTAGTCCTGTATGACTAACTATAATTATATTTAATTTTTTTGCAACGTATAAGACCAGATGAGTAATTAGGAGTGAAAAAAAAAAGTTAATAATCGAGAAACTTTCGATTGGATGTTATGGCTATCCTTACCGATGGATTGGCCGGGGAAGGTGTCGACAAGTACGACGATGTCGTCGTCGGCCACACCGTCGGTGCGGAAAATACCCTTGCAGACGCCGATACGGTCCTCGCGAGTGGGCGCCCAATAGAACTTCTCCATACGGCCGTCACGGATGAGGGGCGCGTACAAGGTGGAGAAGTCGTTTCCGGTGACGATGATGGGGACGCGGGGGTTGTCCTCCTTGTTGTACATGCCCGGCAGCTGCACGTTCGTCGGGTTGTCCGCGATGTTCATAAGGGTCGCGTTAACCATCTGGTTGTTCACTGTGTACTGCGTCGTCCCGCCCATCCGCCCAGCACCCGCGTCCAGATCGTTGATGAATAGGCAGCACATCTTCCCCTTCTTGATCCTGTCCGCCGCCTCACGGTACCGTTGCCGGATCAATTTCGCCGGCTCCCCCGCGTTCCCGCTCTCCAATTCTCCGGCGCTCATCATGATCGGGCTGTCGCGAGAAAAACGACGACGAAATAAAATTTTTTTCCTGTTTTAATATTTATTTTTCATTCAAAACATCACATTCTGACTCACTTGATTCCCATTTTCGCGAAGACAAGCTCGCATTGGAACGACTTTCCTTGTCCTTTGCCTCCCCAAACTCCCAAGATTAGCGGAACCTAAGGTTACACGTTGTTTTTGCACAAAATTAAGTATCGAGACAACCTCGGATTTCATTCAACTAAGGTAACGCTCGAGAAAGACTCGCTCGAACCTTGATGTTAGGCAAGGACATGAAGTTCTTGGTTATGTGGACGACGAGCTTGTCCATGAACGCCGGGGCGATGTACAATCCGTCCAGGGTGTTGTCGTATTCGTACCTAGAAAAACACCAACGGCGCATATATATATATATATATACCATTCTCGTATCGAAAATTTAAGACAATCTTAAAACGAGACAGGGGAAGACGACGATTACTGGCGAAGTCCTTGGCTAAGGTACTCGTAAGAGCTGAGGACGGCGTCGTGTGTTCCCATACCGGACGGAGCTTGAAAAAGAGCATCGACAAGACCCTTCCCTCGGGCAATGTCTTGTTGGTCGTCCGAAATATCGGTAACGAGACCCTTCCACCTGTCCGTATCGGTTTGTTTCTTCTCGTCGTATTCTTTCGCGGCCATGACCTTGAAGCTGCCCGAAGACATCTTCGGCAGGTATCCTCCGGAGGTTATTTTCTTCAAGCTTCCCCCCAAAAACGACGAGCTCGGGACTGCAGCTCCCGCCCCGGCTCCATTCAAATTCAGCTGCATTCAAAATCATTACAACCTAGTGAGTTATAGCAACATACCGTTTACGAACGAGCTCGAATTTTTAACCTCAGTATATAAAATTAACAATATTTTCGAACACTTCACGTAAGGTCGATAAATCATTACTAACCTAATAAGCTCTAACAACATACTGTTTATGAACGAGTTCAGACTTTTAACCTCAATATATAAAATTAACAAATATTTTCCAACACCTCATAAAAAGATCGATAAATCATTACAACCTAGTCAGTTCTAACAAAGTGCTGTTCACCGACAAGCTCGAACTTTTAATCTCAATATATACTATTAACAATATTTTCGAACATCCCACAAAAGATCGACCGCGACAAATCATATATATAGCGCGGATGTATGTATACGGTGTTTATGTAAGAATTCGCACCGGTGCGGCGGCTCCGACGGTGGAAACGGCGGTGGCGGCGGCCATTGGCGGCGGCGGTGGTGGCTGTAAAGTAAGTAATAAGATGGATGGTTTGGCGATGGTTGTGGAGAGTGTTGTTCGAAGGATGGACTTATAGTAAGAGGACTAATTTTGGATGGGTCTTAGGTTGTACGATGTCCACACATCCAAGATTTCCGACCTGCCACGTGGCGGCCTGTGGATGCATGACAATTGGTGAAGAAGGGAGAAAATGTTAATCTTTTGTGAGAGGTTGGAATTGTAGCTGAAATCTTCGCCACTTAAAATTCTGTAATTTCATTCACCACATACGTGATTTTAAGAACCAACTGTTCTGCTGGAGAGTATTATCGGCTCAATTATTTCATTTTAATTTTTGTTTTTTTTAAATTTTATTTTGGATAATTCTTTGTCTGGATTTTTAATGGTTCAGGTTTGAGAAAAGTATGTGGGATTGTCGTGGCTTGGATTTCTCGTGTGTGTTTTTTTCTGAGTGCATTATTGTGGTGGTATTCGTAAGCCTCTTATTGTATTTATCATTGTATTTTAATTTTTAAGTAATATATATATGTGTAATAATGTAAGTAAGATTTGTACAACAATTGTGACAAGGGACTGTAGGAGAAATACATTACTTCCTCTATTGCGGATGTTTGTATTTTTTTTTACCCCCACACACGGATCCGATCGAGATTTTTTCAACCGCAAGCACAGACACATCCGTCTGCTGCATTTTTTGAAAAAAAATATATTTTTTTTCCTCACAGAACATTTTGTCGTACATTATTTTAGCATCAAATACAAACCAAATTTTTCTCACACTCATAAATAAAACATATCCAAATAATAGAATTTGAACCTCTATTCTGGATGTTTATGTCAATTTCATTTGATAGAGCCTAAAAGTAACAATATTTTAATATAAAACTAAAATTGGTGAAAATTAAAATGGAATATTACTATAATTTTATTAAAGAATTCGCAGAAGAGTAATTGAACAAATTAAAAAAAAAATCACAAATAACTTACTATTTATTAAAATAGAAATAGTAAAATTATGAATGAATAATACTTTTTACTATATAGATAAATTATCCCGAATGGAGCGAATATTTATTATTGTATTAGTGATACTTGTAAACATGAGTGTGACCGACTTTAATGGATTGAATTATCTGATTAATTTTTATTTGGTTATGGTTTGAAATTAATTTAAAGTAGGATATTCATTTGAATTTTTATTTGAAAAATATTTTAATGCGATTTTTCGTGAGAACAAATAAATTTTTATTGGATATTGTACCAAATAAATAGTATTGATTTTTATTTTGATTTTAAATGGTAAAAAAAACTGTTAGAAATTTTTTGGAAAAATAATGGCATTGGGTTATTGATCATCAAAATATGGAGCCTATATATAGGCAATACAAAATAGACTCGATAAACTCAAATCTAAATAATCTAATCTATTGATAAAATCAAATCTAAATATAAATATATTGAATCTAAAACTGAATATCTAAAATATCTCAACATCCCCTCAAATTCAAGATGGGGCAGTAAAGACCAACTTGAGTTTATGCAAGAGTAATCGGAAGCGGCCTGGAAGAAGAGATTTGGTGAAGATATCTGTTGTCTGATCTTCAGAGGATACTAGAACGAGATGAACTACTTCATTGACAACATGTTGTCGAATGAAGTGACAGTCAAGCTCAATATGCTTGGTGCGCTCGTGGAAGGTATCACTATGGGCCATCTTCATAGCACAATGACTATCACAGTGAAGAGCCGTAGAAGATGACTGAGGGGCACCAAGATCAGTGAGTAGCCGTCGAAGCCATAAAAGTTCTGAAGTAGAGTCAGCAAGAGCACGATACTCTGACTCGGTACTCGAGCGAGAAACTAAGTTTGTTTATTGCTGCATCAAGAAATGAGAGAATCACCTAGGAAGAAGTAGAAACCATTGGTCGAGCGACGATTGGTGGGATTACCAACCCAATCAGCATAAGAGTAACCGTTGAAAATTAAGGATGAGTTAGAGGAGAAGTATAAGCCATGCAGAAGAGTACCTTTCACATAACGAAGAATATGTAAGACGGAAGAGTGGTGAGAGGTCCTCGGAGCTGCCATGAACTGACTCACAATATGGACTGCATGAGCGATATCTAGTCGAGTGACAGTCAAATAGATCAAGTTCCCAACGAACTGACGGTAAAGGGTAGGATCATCAAGAAGAGAGCCATCATGAGGGGTAAGTCGAACATTGTAGGCAAGTGGTATAGATGCTACCTGACAGTCTGTGAGACCAGCTCGAGCAAGAAGATCGGGGGCATACTTAGCCAGGGACAGAAATAAACCATCGGGAGAATCAGAGACTTCAAGCCCCAAAAAATAACGAAGGTGACACGGCCCGGCCGCGTATAATTATAACCAACATAATTTTCTTACCCACAAAGTTCAATAGAACAAATGGACAAAGAATATGTATAAAAGAAAAGAGAAAGAAGAAGAAAGATAGTGCAGAGAATGTGAATTAGTATGGGTGATAACCAACCACGAGAATAAGTCTCGGACCTGAAATCAATCCACAGGTAAAACACAAACAATAGGCTAAATCCCACTGCAACAGATTGGAAGCCACGAACCGATGGAATCACTCCAAAGACCCGATTTGAGATTCTAAATGAGAGGAAATCACTTCATAACACTAGAAAATATAAAAGTGAAATTCAATTCAAGTTGTAAAAAAAGGTCCTCATTACAATGATAGGCAAGGACCTTATATAGAAGTCCTTGAGGAAAATAAAAGGCAACAAATAATAAAGGAAACAAACCAAAAGGTAAGTCTAACTATAAGGAAATAAATAATTAGGGAAGTTTTAGATATGGAATTATACTATATTGAAACTTATAATAAAAGGAAATAAGTGATGATTCCCTTTATATACTTCCATGATTAGTGATTTTCTCCATAAGCGATGATTCCCTTGATATACTTCCATGATTAGTGATTCTCTCCATAAGTGAGGATTCCCTTGATATACTTCCATGATTAGAGATTCTCTCCATAAGTGAGGATTCCCTTGCTATACTTCCATGATTAGTGATTATCTCCATAAGTGATGGTTCCCTTGATAACCTTCCATGATTAGCGATTCTCTTGATCTTTCAATTGGGATTCTTGCGGGTCCCATTGAAGGAGCGTCAGGTGAGGGCTAAGTGGTCTCCAAGCATCATCCTTAAATTGATTCTCCATGAAAAATCGTCTGATCAATGCAGTGATGGATTTTTGAAACTGACGAGCTCGGCTTCGAGTGATGGGTCCCACGGGCATTTGAATGCTTGAAGATTTGACGTCCTCGTCATTCCCTCCTTCTTGAAAAGCTTTCTTGTTCTCCCGAACAAGATATTCATCCGCTGCATCAAAAGGGCTTAAGTTAGAAACATTAAAAGTAGCATAGACTTGGTACTCACCTGGGAGTTCAAGTTTGTAAGCATTATCATTAATGCGTTCCAACACTCGAAGAGGCCCATCGCCATGGGGAGTAAGTTTTGACTTTTGCAATTCTGAAAATCTTTCCTTCCTTAAGTGTAGCCAAAACCAATCTCCTATCTCGAATACAACTTTCTTGTGCCCACGGTTAGCTTGTTTTGCGTAATTGTCAGCTGGCTTTCGTAGGTCATCCCGAACTTGAGAATGAAGTTGTGGGACAAATTCAGCCCTTTTTCTGCCATCAAAACAAACGTGCTCATTGTGTGGCAATGGCATAAGATCAAGAGGATTTAATGGGTTAAAACCGAAAACAACCTCAAATGGAGAACAAGTTGTAGAGCTATGAATCATACGATTATATGCATATTTAGCATGAGCTAAACATTCTTCCCAACTCTTCAAATTCTCATTAACTAAGGCACGTAACAAGCTTCCCACAGTTTGATTAACAACTTCGGTTTGACCATCAGTTTGTGGGTGGTGTGATGTGGAAAACATTAATTGTGTACCTAATTTAGCCCAAAGTGTTTTCCAAAAATAACTTAGAAGTCGAGAATCCCTATCAAAAACAATGGATCTTGGAACACCATGCAATCTAAGAACCTCTTTGAAAAATAATGAAGCAAACATGGTTAGCATCAGTGGTTTTTGTGCATGGAATAAAATGTGCTATTTTTGAAAAGTGATCAACCACAACAAATATTGAATTTTTAGCAGACCTACTCCTAGGCAAACCTAATATGAAATCTATAGAAATATCAACCCAAGGGGATTCAAGAATAGGTAGGGGAGTATACAAACCGCGTGGATGAACAGTAGACTTCAACGAGAGGCACGTTGTACACCGACGAATTGCACCTTCAGCTTCGGGAGGACGTACATAATGTTGCCATGCTTGCAGAGCCCGCACTAAGGAGTACAATTCCTTATCGTAGGTTGAGTAATTCAACGCAGGGCCATGTAGCTTTTCACTGAAAAATGCAACAGGTCTCTTTTCTTGCGAGACGACGACGCCTATACCTACACCAGAGGCATCAAAATCAAGTTCAAACGGTTTAGATAAATCAGGTAAAACAAGTACGGGTGCACATGTAAGTTTTGATTTTAAAGTATCAAAAGCATTTTGTTGTTCACTTCCCCACTCAAACTTATCCTCTTTTTTGGTAATTGTCGTTAAGGGTGCTGCAATAGTACTGCAGTTCCGCACAAATCGCCGGTAGAAACTTGCAAGGCCATGGAAACTGCGGACATCACGTACGCTAGTAGGTGTAGGCCACTCTTGGATGGCTGCAACCTTCGCAAGATCTACACATACTCCATCTTTTCCTACAATAAAACCCAAAAAGTTGCACTTGTCGACACAAAAGTCGCATTTTTTCAAGTTAGCATATAACTTCTCAGCCCGTAAAACATCTAAAACTGCTTGCAAATGTTCAACATGTATTTCAATAGAAGTACTATAAACAAGTATGTCATCAAAGTATACTACAACAAACTTATTTATAAAATTCCGTAAAACATGATTCATCAATCGCATGAATGTGCTTGGGGCATTAGTAAGTCCAAATGGCATAACTAACCACTTATATAGACCAAAAGAAGTCTTGAAGGCAGTTTTCCATTCATCACCTTGATTCATCCGAATTTGGTGAT